GATCCAAATAATTTGCACAGTTCAACTTACCACCTTAAGGACAAATGTCTGCTGTTGAAGTTGAATAAAAGTTTGCACAATACGCGTAACTGATTTGATGGTTTCCAATTTAACTGTTAGGAAACGAAGAACTTAACCTCAATGTCACAATTTCACTATGGGGAGACTGGTGAATTTAACCTGAAATGCACGATCCAAATAATTTGCACAGTTCAACTTACCACCTTAAGGACAAATGCCTGCTGTTGAAGTTGAATAAAAGTTTGCACAATACGCGGAACTGATTTGATGGTTTCCAATTTAACTGTTAGGAAACGAAGAACTTAACCTCAATGTCACAATTTCACTATGGAGAGACTGGTGAATTTAACCTCAAATGCACGATCCAAATAATTTGCACAGTTCAACTTACCACCTTAAGGACAAATGCCTGCTGTTGAAGTTGTATAAAAATTTGCACAATACGCGTAATTGATTTGATTTTTTTCCAGTTTAACTGTTAGGAAACGAAGAACTTTAACCTCAATTTCTCCGTGAACACAATACCGGTTTTAAGTTAGCGTTTGAAAGAACATGCGTATGATAAATGTCACATGAAATTAACTGAGCAAAGTACAATGAATAGCTGTTAAACAATGTTTCACGCACCGGCACCATCTACCTTAAATGAAACATACTTATTTTCGTGAGGGATACTCACACACCATATACTTTTCTATTGAAATTTTTCCTGAATTTTCTTAGCTATAAACCTCCAACGAATGCAAAACCGTGGAAATCGGTTCGTGCGTCCTGGAGTTATAGCGTCAGGAAGGAAAACCCTACTTATTTTTATATTAATTTTTATATTAAAGAATATTAAAGAACTGTCCGCATTACACAATTTTATTTTTCACAAAAACGGTATTCATGAATTTTTTAATTTTTGTTTTATTTGCTTCCGCATATTTTTGACATAACAGCTTTCATTTTATGCCCATATTATACAAATACAGCCTAAGTTTACCCGGGTCCACGTTTTGGTCTATATCTCGAGACCCTGGTCACCCAGCTATATGAAAAGTGCTCTACCTTAAAGCATTCATGAGCAGCTTTAATTTGATACCCATATTGAACAAATACATCCTAAGGTTACCCGGGTCCACGTTTTGGTCTGTATCTCGAGACCCTAGTCACCCAGCTATATGAAAAGTGCTCAATCTTAAAGCATTCATG